CCTTTAAACTACACAAAAAATATTTACAAGTTAGGAAATTTTAGGACCAATTATCTTGTGCCCCCTCTGCATTTGGTTTGGGTTTGTGAATCTTTAATAATTTTTCCTAGTTATCCGTTTATCTATAGTCACAAGCATCAAACTTTCACAACATAAGTCACTCTTTTTTGGCTAACTAGAGCATGTCTATGGGAATTCTATTGAATTAACATGCTAGTGTTATTGAACTTGATGTTATTACTGTCTAGTCATGGAAACATGCGATTGTAGACATAATTCTGCCAATGGCACCATGGTCAATAAAGAAAGATACTCATGCATCTTCCTTCTATTTATTCAAACAATAAGAAGGGTTGATTAGGAAGCTTATCAAGTTACATTGTCAACTTAGCAGTTAACATTTACAGGTTTGATCCTTAAAACTTCACTCTACAAGTTGCAAACTACAAGTCAGCTTTGGGATTGTCCCTTCTCTGTCTGAAGACTAGATTAATGCTTAATGTAGGCATTTCCATGAAATTTTTAATCTTTGACTATGCTTACATAAGGGATGCAATTCATTATGAAATTTCCCTGTTGTCCTTAAAATTAGTTGTCCTCATCAATTGTCATACATTGGTTTATAAATGGTAGGTTGGTATCTTTTAGTTTATAAAGGGTACATTGGTCTAAATGACCATGTTGATGATAAGTGGATGATGCCTAATCACTAAGCACAGTAGTATTTTACATTGATCAACTTATTGGCTGTGCTCATGTACGAAAGTAGCCGGATATACAAGTCTTCTATGATATTAGCATACTCTGGGACTGAACTGTTTAGTCCCCCAAAGTTCTTGTGTTTTAGTTGAGTAGCCTTTAGGTGTTGCACAATACTCTCAGGCAAATTAGTGTATTTTGTGGACCACCAGCCTACAGATGTGTGAAAAGACAACAACAGAGTTATAGACCCATAGAAAGGATCTATATGCCTTCCTTTCTGTTTTATGCTAGTAATGTGTTGACTTCTTCGATCTGAAACATATTACGTAGAAATGAAATATTAACCTTGGATACTGCAACTTTAGAAATATGCAGTTCTTTTTCGTAGATAAAATTGAATGAGTACAATGTCTTCAACCTTGATATACTAGCCATTTAACGTGTCCGTAAATATACCAACCAATGAAATATAAAATTATTGTTTAAGTGTCCATGTAGAAAAGTAATATTTATGATGGCTCTAGGATTGAATGTAAATCAAAACTCTTAAGGATGTTGTAAATAATAAAAGGTTTTGATAGTGACTGTTTGGTCATCTGTCAAGGTTAAGGCATTTTAACATATTGAATTCATGAGCATTGTTGTATAAACATGTGTTTATTGCTTCCTATCTTATGATCAAGTGTTGGAATTAAACAGGTTTAATTGGTAGAGATGTCTTTACTCATTACTTAGTTGTCAGTAGTTTTTTTTTAAAAGATTGATAGAGTAATATCTTTTTTATTGCACTTGAAGGAAAACTCATTGGAGTCATTAGCATGCATTATTTTTATTATGTCAGGAAAATGACTTAATCCCAAAATGGGGCAGTGCGGTATATTCGTAATAAAGTAAATATAATTAGTTAAATAACTCAATGTGAGTCAGACCATACAATTTTTGCTAAGTTTCCTAATATAATAACTACTCTGATACTCCCTCTCAAGTTGGAGCACATATATGATATATCAATCTTGCCCAACTTTTATAAAAAGAGAAACTTGCTTCCTAGGTATAATATTTTTAACAAAATAACAAATAATAGTGACAATCTTCCTTGTATGCATTGAGTAGTTATCTTTGTCTCCATTACTCAACAGTTTTATCATCAACAATGTCAATTAATTTTTTAGCAGAAGAAACTGGTTGGACAGAATAGTAATCTGAATGTCCAAAAGCTGATGCATAACTTAGGTATTAAACGTGAAGATGGATAGTGAGATTAGATAAATAGGTAAGTAGTAGGATCTCAGAGACCAGCAACATATAAAAGGGTCTCAAACATGGAGACAGATAGAAGCAATGTAGGTCTTATACATGAGGACAAGTAGTAGGATTTCTGACAGAGACATGTAAGTCTTATACATGGAGACAAACAGTGAGAATAAGATTGAAGCAGAAGTTAATCAACAGTAGTAGATAAAAGAAGCTGATCTGATCAAGGAGTTGGTTCTTTTTATTGCCGTGAATAATAGTTGCATGAAATTGATTTACACAACCAATGTCCAAGGAGTTGGTTCTTTTTTAAGATACTGTTGGACCAAATTTAAGAACCTGACCACCCAAATAAGTGGGAAGGTCCAGGTATTCAAGCTGCAGTAGGACTCAAAACACTTTAAAGGTAGCCGACCACTAACGCTAATAGGATTCGGGTTTATGGTTTGTCTCTTACCCTATAAATGCACGTGCATGCCATCGTAATGAGGTACAAAAAAGAGAGATCTAATTTCTGAGTAGTGCGTCCAAGCCTACCTATCATTTCCTTCCTTCTTATTCATTGTTTAGGGGTTAGTCCACTACAACAAAAGTTGCAACTTATGATACATTTTTTGTCACCCCTCGACACTTCCTTTTGTAGTACAAATGGAGTGCGACACAAGTCAAAAGCGTGGATAAAGCATCTATAGAGAGGTGAATCTTTCTACACATGTGAGAATATGTTGCAAATCTTATGACATATGTACGTCTCACAAAACTCGCGTCTCATACATGTGTCGCAAAACCTACGACACATATTTGTGTTGAGACCATAAAAATATAGGAGTAACATCTTGAAACACTGACTGTAACTTCCAAGAGGTCACCTATCCTAGAATTACTCACCCAAACACGCTTAACTACATATTTGTAGACTAATTCATTGCTATTAACTTAAAACCTGAGATTTACTTTCTAAACCCATCAATATGTCCTCATACAACCGATGTGGGGCTATTAGCCTTTTTCACTTTTATTTTATACTAGTATGCAATACGCGTGTTGCACGTGATGCATGTCAAGAAACTATAAAAGGTGAGGCATTTGAAGGTCAAATCATATTTTGCGCACCATTTTTAAGACTATTATTGAACATATAGCTCATATAGAACAAATAGTAATAATATACATTTCCAAATAACATCTACTAAACACGTTTAAATCAGATAAATCGCAAAAGTAAGAAAGACAATAATGACATCAATTACATCATCATTTAGACATTCTTGTTGAAAGCAACATAATTGCAGCTCTATTGATAAAAAGGAGAAAATGATGAAAATAAGAGAAAACTTTGGATAAAAGATGTACCATTGCATAAAAATTACCTCAGGTTCAATCCAGTGAAAGAAAGCCTAGAATATGAGAGTATTTTAGTATGAAAATTCTTAACACTCCTTATAATTTTGAAGTTTTCATATGGTGGAAGGGACTCTAAGACAATTAACTATCTCCAAGAATTCAAGAACGTGTCATATTACAGTTTACACATTTTTTTGAATCACATACACATCTGCATGTTTGAAGTTAACAAGTTAAAGTTGTCTTGGTTTTGACATTGGCCTTAGATGCAGATGCAGTAGCTTCAGTAACTCTTGCTTTAGATCTGATCCTTGTTGGTTCTAATGGAAATCAATGGAAAATATATATTTTTCTCTATGAAAAGCATCCATAGTTGAAAACAAAAAGAGCATTTATTAGGATGGTACAAAAAATATTTTAGATCCATCCTTTTAAATTGCTTTGAATTTATCCTTATTTATTCCAACTTAAGTGATGTTAGAGAGAAATAAAAAGAGAGACATAGACAACAAATTTTCGACAGTCCAATTTAGAACAAGCAGTAAACAATGTTTCTTAAATTCAACAGTAGGTGCAATATACCTTAAGAAATCATATGCTCAAGAAATCAAACCAAAATAGATCCAGGATTGAAAAAACTAATCCAAACTTATATTAAATCAAACCAAAATAGATCCAGGATTGAAAAAACTAATCCAAACTTATATTTAGCAGAACTTTAGTAAGGATTAAAATATAAACAAACTCAAATTCATTCAAAGCATGATGTATTTATAGATCCATGATAACTATCTCTTGTTTATTCCTTTGTATAACTTGATCATAGTGTAGAGTGTGCTAAATGAATTAGCCACATTAAGTAAGAAAAATATCATCAAGGAAAACACACCTTACA